AAACAGGAATCGAACCTATCCTATTTGAACCTTCATCGAACATTCAGACCGGCAAATTTGTTTAAAAATTATTTATTAAATAAGAATTTACTTAAATATTTGTATCTATAAAAAGAATGTATAAGTAAAAATGTCTTAAAATAATTGTCAGATTTTGTCCATTTCACAATATATGTATATATATATTATATATAATTTATTCGAAAATATGCAATAAAATCGCCATAGCCATTTTGTTTCAACACTTCTAAATGTAGAATAAAGAGTTACTCTTTATTCTAAATTCAACACCATCACCTGATAAGACAACAGAGAAGTGTTGAAACAAAATGGAAATTTTTGTAGTGATTTTATAACATATTTATGTTATAATTTTCGAATAAATTATATATATATATATATATATATATATATATATATATATATATATATATATATATATATATATATCATAATAAAATAATAAATTATTGGTCATATATATAAGTTATATTTTCTGTTTCCATTTGAATTTGTAGGTCTGATGAGTTTGATCCTGATTAAAAATTCCAATGTAATAAATTATAAAAAATGGATGCAAGTATTTGAGTTTTAAATATATATATATATATATATATATATATATATATATATATATAAATATATAAAATATATATATATATATATATATATGAAATTCAAAGAATCAAACATTGGTTCCATGTTAAATTTGTTAAAGCAAGCACAGACATTTTATATTTAAATTTGAATTTTAATGCCCAATAGATCGGAATTTTAAACTAAGACAAATCCAGCTTTTTATTACTTTCATTTTTATTGTTGTTGGACGTAAATTTATCCCGGAGGAATTTGAACTGACTGAACTTTCAAAACATTTACTCTTTTTACATCATTTTTTTCTTTAATCAGAGCCGAAATCTTCATGTCGAATCTATAATCAGAACCGTTCTATTTGCCATAGCGTTGCCAGGAGTCCCTTATATGCAGGACATATCCCGTACTGGATAATTTTGCCCCTTGTCCCGTACTGACCTTTCAGGAACTTGCCACATGTCCCGTTTAAAGTTCATTTTCAAATTTCGTCGTAAAATTTATATTTTTACTATCTGTCTATATCTCTATGATGAGGTATTATGATTTTAAATATTATTTTTATTATTTTTAACTGTTATCCTAATCATTTATTAAACTATTAACAAATTTTCGGCCGTTGTGAGCTCTTTCTTCTTTAAAAATTGGATATCAACCAAATTTTTGTTTTTTTTTTTCGATTTTTAATAGAAATGAATACAATAAGGGAATCAGTAATAAGGATTGTTAGAGAAAAGCAATGAATAACAAATTGAAATTGCAATATAAAAGGTTTAAAAAAAAAATATATTAATTAGAGAAAATTGCAATCTGAGCAATGGTAAAAAAATTTCAAATGCTTAGACATTACGTTTATAAGTACCAAAAACTTGTACAAATGTCCCCATTTAATATGATATTTGGGTAAAAGACGGTGGTTAGATCCAAACATACTAGACCCAAAGAGTTGTGAGTTCAATCAGAACAAGGTTTTATATTTTTTGGGGAACCAAAAACTTTTAAATCAGTTTAGGGAAATAACAACTGTAGGAAGATCTTTATAAAATGTGGGAAAAAAAGGGTTCGGTAAATTTTAAATTCCGATCACCTGAAGAAGAACCTATTCAAGCAAATACAACAGTTTTTTGTTGTTCATTAAAACGAGGAAAACAGTCCGAATAATGAAAAAATATTTTTTTACTATCTTCTTACGTTCAAATCAGTTTAATAACTTTAAATAATTAAACTACCGGTTCACCCGTTGGATCAGATGACGGTTTAAATTTATAAAAAAATTAGAAGTTGATTTCAATTTTCCATTGAAATGAATGTTAATTTTATTATGATTCAGTTAAATATTTGTTTTAATATCATCATTGTTCTGGATTTTTTAAAATATGTTTAACGTTTTACTGATTGCCTACAGCATTTAATTAGAATCGAATTTCCGTGATTAACTTGAAATTTTAATCAAATTAATTTCAAAATATTCTTTATTATATTAAAATCATATTCACTTGAAAATATTTTTTCAATAGATCAAAATATATTTTTTAGCATTTAAAATATTGTTTGTTTAAAGAAAGCTTAAATATAAATAATTACTCTATAAATAACAGAATGAAACAGCAAAGGGATCTTTTTGTCTGTTTTTTTTCATTAGAATATTTTAATTTAAAAAAAATTGTCTGTTTGAAATAAAAAAATTTGTAAAACAAGTCATGATTTTAAATCTTATTCAATTAAACTATTTTTTAAATCAGATTAACTTAAAAATATTTTTGTAAATATATAGAATATTGTTTATTTAAAAAAACTGAAATTATATTCCACAAACAATGGACGAAACAAAAAAGAACTTTCTTTTCTTAGGTATCTTTAACTTAAAAAATATTTTTAATTAAATTTGTCTGTTTGAAGAAATTTTAAA